ATTCCGCAAACTTTTCGTCAACAACAATCTTCCGGCGACCTACAGCGCGATGTCCCAAGACCAGAAGTCACTCATTAACCCAAATTCTCAAGGAGCTAGCGTACGCTTGGATCGGCTCGAGGAGGTATTAATGCGCCTGAAAACCCAGCTTACTGCAGTTACCACTAACGGCCGGCGGCGAACACCAAACCGTCGCCCTACTTCCTCCGATTCCCACACCCGCCGTCCACAATCTCCAAGTTGCGTTTGCTGGTATCACCAAAAAATTGGTGGAGCAGCTCGGCGATGTCTTCAGCCATGCTCTTTCAAGGCATCTCTAACGGCCTCAGGGAGACAATCCCACCCGACAGTAGAGTCCACTGCTGCTGGAAGCCTTGCCATTCTCCACACTCGCCGTTTGTTTCTCTGGGACCGTATCGCTGGCGCCAAATTCCTTGTCGACTCTGGTGCCGAGGTTAGCGTGGTTCCACCAACGCCGGCCGAACGTAAAACCCGCAGCTCTTTTTGTCTAACAGCTGCCAACAACTCCAGCATCCCCACCTTTGGACAGCGCTCCATCACACTTGATTTGGGCCTTCGTCGAATTTTCCGATGGGTTTTCATTATTGCCGACGTCTCCGTCGCCCTCATAGGTGCCGATTTCCTCGCTCAATTCAATCTACTAGTCGATTTGAAGAATCGCCGACTCGTCGACTGCATCACCGACCTTCATGCCCGTTGTCAATACGATGTGAACCCCTGCGTCAACCCTCTCACTGTTATGCCCATCTCTGACTGTCCTTTCCACTCACTGCTCAGGCACCCACCACATTTACACCACCGTACCTCCCAAATCTTGCCGACCACGCCGTCTTGCTCCAGACCGTTTGAAGATTGCCAAGGAAGAGTTCGAACACATGCTTGAGCTTGGCATCATCCGACAGTCCGACAGCTGTTGGGCATCACTCCTCCATCTTGTCCCAAAGAAGAGCGGCGACTGGCGACCGTGTGGCGACTATCGGGCGTTGAACTCTGTGACTGTCCCCGACCAGTATCCCGTCCCGCACATCCAAGAATTCACTCTTTCGCTGCACGGTAAGCGAATATTCTCCAAGATTGACCTTGTGCGTGCCTACCACCAAATTGCAATCGAGGCCAGTGATGTGCCGAAAACTGCAGTGACCACTCCCTTGGGGTTATTCGAATTCACTCGTATGCCCTTTGGACTGAGGAATGCCACTCAAACCTTTCAGCGATTCATTGATCAGGTTCTGCGAGGTCTCGACTTCGTCTACGCCTACATTGATGATTTGTTGGCGGCTAGCTCTGACGCTGCTCAACACGAGGTTCATCTTCGACAACTCTTCGAACGGCTCGACTCCTTCGGCGTTGTAATTAATGCTGCTAAATGCGAGTTTTGAGTCCCCAGCCTTATCTTCCTTGGTCACGAAGTGAACTCAGATAGGATAAATGCCGTCCCAGAAAAGGTTTCGGCCATATCTACGTTCCCCGTCCCGACAACCATCAACCAACTACGCCGATTTTTGGGGATGATGAACTACTATCACCGTTTTCTTCCCCATGGTGCCACCATACTGCAGCCTCTCAACAGCCTGTTGACCCACTCCAAGAAGACACTGGTTATGACCGAGGAGGCCGTCAAGTCCTTCAATGACGTCAAGGCCGCACTTGCGAGCGCAACACTACTAGCCCACCCCCGCGCTGATGCCCAACTAACTCTCATGACAGATGCTTCCAGCACTGCCGTTGGTGCATCACTGCAGCAAACTGTTGGTGGTGTTCTACAGCCTTTGGCTTTCTTCTCGAGGAAGCTCAGCCCAGCAGAGTCCCGCTGCAGTGTCTTCGGCCGAGAACTTCTTGCCGTTTATCTATCCATCCGGCACTTCCGCCATTTCCTCGAGGGTCGTGATTTTGTTGTTCTAACAGATCATAAGCCACTCGTTTTTGCACTGAGGGCCTCTCCCGATCGTTACTCGCCCCGTGAAATTCGTCATCTCGACTTCATCTCACAGTTTTCCTTCGACATCCAGCATGTCCACGGTAAGGAAAATGTGGTTGCTGATGCTCTTTCAAGAATCGAGATGGCTTCCATCACAACAGACGCCAAAGACTTCACGCTCGTGGCTGAGGCTCAGCGATCGGATGGCGAACTTCCCCAATACCGCCACGAGGACTCTTCTTTACGCCTTCAAGATGTCCCCCTCCCCACTGGCACTGGCACCACCACGTGTGACCATTCTACCGGACACGAACGTCCTTTTGTTCCAGCAACTTTACGACGACAAGTGTTCAACGCTCTTCACAATCTATCCCACCCTGGAGTCCGGGCGACAGTGGTACTCATCACTGACCGATTCGTCTGGCCCAACATCAACCGGGATGTACGGCGTTGGGCCCGCTCGAGTCTACCATGTCAACGAGGCAAAACGCATCGGCATACTATTACTCCGCCAGGAACTTTCGCCACTCCTGATGCACGCTTCAGTCATGTGCACATTGACCTGGTAGGTCCGCTGCCACCATCTAACGGTTCTACCTATATGCTGACATACATTGATCGTTTTACTCGGTGGCCGGTTGCTGTGCCTATTCCGGACATCAGTGCCGAAACTGTAGCAAGAGCTTTCTTGACTCATTGGGTATCCAATTTTGGAGTTCCTGCGACTGTCACCACTGACCGCGGATCACAATTCGAGTCCACGCTGTTTCGCGAACTCACATCCCTTCTCGGTACCAACCGAATCCGAACAACAGCGTACCACCCTCAAGCAAATGGTCTCGTCGAACGCTTCCATCGACAGCTCAAGACTTCCCTTATGGCCCCGCCCGATC